AATAAGTAGGATGAAGTAATGTGTAAACCATTATTCAAAGGCTTTCCCTTTCTTCAACCTCAACCACCACCACCCCCTCCCCCAAACGAATGAAAGATTGAGCTGGTCATGGTCATGCCAGAATCGAGTGAATCGAGTCAAGAGGAAGTAAACCGTATTGGGAAAATTAAGGCTTCAAAGGAGCGAAAATGTGCGACGTTTGGATACTTTAATGAAGGGGTTACATTGTAGAGAGTCGCCGCAAACTTGTGTTAGCACTTCACATTATAGCCGGCGAAGCAAAACGATCAGCATTGCATGAAAATGCGCTCGAAACGACAGTGAAAAAGTTGGCAGATCATATGGCTGGCAGAGGAAATGACAAAGGATGAAATTCGGCGAATATATAGAGAAAAAAGAAGCAAAACTTGCTACGTCAACACAAAGTGCTAACGAATGAAGTAGATTGGAGGTATTGAATGAATACGAATACGAATACGTTCCAGACCATGAGACCTCAGACCCGCTTGGGTCTCACGGCCGAGAGCGAAAGAACTCGACGAGAAAGACGAGACACGAAAGGAGGGATCCCGCGACCAACAGGAGGAATGGGCTCTGGAGATGAACCAGAGATGAGGACACGGGGCCGTCGGGTTTTTCCTCTCTCGTTCCGTGCAGTGTGACGCTCGCGACCTTCAGATTCCGACGTACCATCTCTTCCAGGGTGTTTTCCCGCCAATGTTGGATGAAGTCTCCTACCATCCTCATCGTGTTCCAATGGAAGGATTCCTTTAATCCCTTCAGTTCCTTCCCCACGATCCAGGCCACAAAGACAAAGGAACGGGGAAGGGCCGATATGAGAATCCTCTCTTCTGTCGTATCACAGGGCCCAAACAGCGCATTCGTAGTCGATGAAGGCGAAGGACTGTCACGATTCCGTCGAGAGGGAGATAGTAATTCCAGGCTTCTTTTTATGGGAACCAGATCATCCGGTCGGCCAAAGACATTAGGGCGGGATCACCAGATCCCCGGATTTGCATATCCAGTCCGTCGCTGTAATTCAACCTTCCCCAATTGTAATCGGAATTCACGAGATCGTCCAGAGATCGAGGATCGATCGATCGATCCTCGATCGAGATCCAGGTTGGAATCGAGGAAGGGCGAGAAGCGACATCAGACCACTCGAGTACGACGTCGCCGGGATCATGGCATAATACGAGGAGAATGCAAAGAGGATCCTACTGGAATTCTCACTCGTTAAGCTCGGGTGGACGCTTTGGGTCGTGTGGATCTGGGCGAAGAGGAACAGGACATTCCCGAATCTGATGCCTTCCAAGAGGCGACCGAGGATCAGACTTGCCAAGAAGAGGATTCCGATCATGGTGACCCATACGGATCAACTCCAGGGATATCAACTTCATCCAACCCGGATGAAGACGATCTGGTGAGGAACGTCAAGCAGTCGGAGAAGAAGGGGAAAGAATGATCCATGTTCGAACGATGAAAGCGGCCCCAGCGAAGTGCAAGGTCGGAGAATGCCACGTCGACGGACCCGTCGTCCACGAGACCCAGGAGTCCCGTCCTCGTTGTCTCCCGAGTCGCTCCACAATCCATCCTCGGGTGAGACGAATTCCACCGAGAAGTCGAGTCTTCGCGAAAGTTCCTTGAGAATGGAGCCTTCCAGCCCTCGTAATTCTAAAATGGGAGGAAACTCCTTCTGGGCGTCCCAGCTGATAAACGGTCGATAACTGAGTGTACCCACACGAATGACTCGACCTTGGGAATCCCTCGGAGGCCCACAACCGCCGCCAACGAGGCACGACGAACGGGAAATCCCTGCTAAGAGCCCGAGCATAAAGCCCTTCCGAAATTCCATCACTTTGGAGAAATTTGAGCGAGAACTAGCTTTGTGGAGGTGGAATAGCGACTGGAGGGAAACTTTTTTAGTCACCACCCAATAGGGACATCTTGTTTGATAGTCTTGAGACGACGAAAGAGGTCTTTGTGACGTTCTCTCCCTTCCTTTTGAAAAGGCGGGAAATTAACGATGGGATCAATCGATCCAGCCGCGGGAAGGCCTTTCCTTTCAGAGGAAAGGACATTCGCACGACCGAGTAACGAGCACACAACGCGATTGGGTCCTGTCCAGTGAGAGCACGTAATTGTGGGATGCGATGGCTCCCCCGTTTTCTCATTAATATTATATATATAATAATATCAGTGGCATTGTTCCATCTTGTTTGAGGGCGAAGGACGCGATAGCGCCTCATAATTACAATTAAAGGGAAATATGTACATTTGCCTTACAAGTTTCAAGCCTTAATACGACTTACGTTCTTCTTCAAGCACCACAGATAATTACCATTGAAGGCACTTTCATTAAGACAGCGCTAAATCAGAAGAATTCTCACGGTCGAGGGTCGCCACTAAACCCGCCTCAAACTGACGTCATAATCAACGATCCCCTACAATGTCACTTATAGAGCTAATCGGGAAAGTTTTTGAGCGCCCACGCACGGATTTCCAAGTTTTCCAGGTACTATTGCCGTTCCCGGCAAGAAACATCACGAAAAGAGGAATCCAATCAAAAGACCCGTCCGATTCCACGGATCATTGAACCTCACTGCCCGACACGAGGTCGAGGAAATCCGGCGAGCAAAACGCGAACCGGCCAGCAAAGGACACAACGATCCACGTCCATGCAACGAAGCCAACGGAGCGAAGAGCCCGCTTCTGCCGCGCGGGAAGGCAAGAAGGGAGGCGAATTCCATCCCAAAACAGCGTATAATATTAATTAATTAATAGATTAATTTATGGAATCCCCCGCCGCTTTTAAAACTCGTTCGACTCTTTGCTTCTTCATGTCCGACATGTGACGTTGCAATCACCAATCGCAGGGAAACATCCGATGCAGAATTATCTTCCCAGTTCAAAAATCGAAATGACGATCCCGCCCTTCATAATTCATTATTTTCTCTTACTTTACACGACTCCAGTCATCTGTCCCAAAACCCACGTTGAATCACGAGACGAGACCCGATAATTTGTGCACTCGTGCCCACAGCGCAGCCATCGCTCCAGGTCAACTCGAACGTACGTCACAGCGCGCTGACCACATAAGCCCTCACACTGGGGTTCCCTCAGACTGGTTAGCTACTTGACACCAAGAATCATGAGGCAAGCCATCTAGTACGATTAATCGTATGGAGGAGGTTCCTGGAGCTGAAGCGAGATGGCGCATAAATAGGCGATACAACCTGCCGATCCCTAATGACACGCGTCTGAAACGACATTCGTCCAGACAGGTAACACCAACCCAAGCAGGTGTTTACCTGCGGGAAAGGGTCCTGCCCTTTTGCCCTGACATTTCTGGAGGGTGACCTTGGGACACGACAAGTTTGGGCCGAGGATAATATCTATGAATATATTAATATTATTTGAAGATATCTATGAGGGCTGCCTGGCTCCTTTTCGAATGGTAGATTCGGGTGTGATAAAGGATACGACGCGAAGGAGCTAATCTCGGCACGCGATTCAGGAGCGAGAAAGGTATCGGAAAGGATGATCGATGAGGTTCTATTTCCGCGAAAAGATATTAAAAGCCTCTCAAGGACGCGATCGAGTGAAGGTCGTAATCGCGGGAGCACTTCCAACCTGATCGGGAGAGGCTCGACAGCGATTCAGACGTTTACTCCGGGACTCTTCCCAAATTTTATGGGTCACGCCACACGCGAATGTTGAACGATGTCGAATGTTCTACCCCATTCTGTACGTTCTGTACCGCGATCCCATAAAGTTGGGAAAAGCGGTATTGAAAATAAGTCTTGGTTCTACAAATGGAACCGTGAGACGAACCTACGAGGGCCCCAGTTGCGTCGGGAAGGGGGGGGGGAGGTTAGAACCCCTCACCCTCCTTGAGCAGGGGGGGGGGGGGGGGGGGGGGGGGGGGGGGGAGAGGTTAGAACCCCTCACCCTCCTTGAGCTTCCCGGTCGGTGACACTGACAGGCATATTTGAACCTTCCTTGGGAATTCCAATTTTAGCCCTGCCCCTTTGAGGAAAGTCCGATTTCCGTCCACAGGCCCAACATGCCAGACCACGATTTCCTCGAAAAGGTCTATTCTGAGTAGTGGAGCCAGGCGTAGGGTCACAGTGTCTACCTGGCCTCAATCCCCCCCCCCCTCCCCACACCCTCCCCACCCCCTCCCCACCCCCTCCCCACCCCCTCCCCCTCCCCCTTGCCGATTTCCTGCCCGCGTTACTGGGCCCCACGTTTAGAATCAACTTTGGACGCACACACCATTACGAAGGTCGTTCAAAAAGTTCTTCAACCAAGTTTTGTTTCATGGAAGAAAGAACTTGATGAAGGCAAACGGACGATACAAGAGGATTAATGAAAGCAAAGTGAAAAAGTCCATATGCTTGTGAGATAAAGATAAAGTGACGATGAGCCATGGTCGAAGTGGAGGGGAGGGGGGGGGGGGGGGGTTGATAGTCCAGTAGTTTCGTTTAAAAAATAAATAGGGTCCACGATCCCTTGTAGAAGATAAGATGACAATGTCAAGGATCGAGGAAGGTTATCGCTCGACTGGATATCGTGACTCAGGCTCCTCTTCTGTGTTGCGGTGGGGACACTGCAGTGGAACACGAAGAATACCTGCGATAGGATGCTCCCTTTCCCCGAGTTCGCGTTTTTTATCTCGCTCGTACTTGGGTTCGGTCGGCAGGTTCGTCCGGGCATCCAGCGGTTTCTCACGACTTTGCCTCAGAGCTGCCTTTTCGGGACGAGAGTAACGGGATATCCGTGTGACACAGGCGGGAGATGAATCCGATTTCCGCGATTTTGAGGGGGAAGCAGGCGATCGGGAAGCGGAAGGCGGTTACAGACGGGATATTTCCGCATCGGAATTCTACACGAGACGCCACCACTGCTCGTACGTCACACCCCTCTTTCGCAGCACCGTGTGAAAGGAACGAGACGAGACATTATAGTGTCCGTTTTCCGAACACGTTTTGTTAAGGGCGACGACATGCTCCCTCGTGAGACGGAGGCGAATCGTGGGAGGGAAGAACACGAGGCCAGGGGAATATCCCTGGATGGCTGCCCTTCTCCGAAGATCTTCCATCAAAGGACCTTTCTGTGGAGGATCTCTCATATCTCCCATCCACGTCCTCACCGCTGCTCACTGCGTCCAACGGTTCGTCGATTTTGCGCTTAACCCAGCGGCCCGTCGATAATGGCCCTGTCTTCCTCCCGTCAGGATTCTCCAGGAACCACATTTATTCCGAGTCCGGATCGGCGAACACGACTTCGAGAGCGACTTCGAGACCGAGCATAAAGACTTCACCATTCGACGAGTCGACGTTCATCCCGATTACGAGGAGTCTGAGAGCGTTATCTACAATGACCTGGCCGTCCTGGAGCTGAACGATCCCTGTATGGATGAACCTCGGACTGTCTGTCTCCCCGATAAACCTGGAGACTATCAGAATCACAAGGCTATAGTCGTAGGTCTGGGATTCCCTGCTGCAGCGTTTAGAAGCAGGACGACCGAGTGTAACGAAAAGGCTTTTTGTGCGTCGTGCAGGTTGGGGGACTTCGATCTTCGGAGGGCAGTATGAACCCATCCTCCAAGCCGTCCCTGTCCACATTTTTCCACACGAAGAGTGTCAGAGTCTCTACGATGGAATAAAAAATACTCATCTGTGTGCGGGGGACCACGTGGATGGAGGGAAAGACGCGTGCCGGGTACGACAGAGATCCCAGGGATCACGTTCCGTTGTCGATCGCTGGGTCCGGAATGATCCGTTCTTGCCTCTCCAGTGGGATTCCGGCGGACCCTTACACGTCTGCCAGAACGGAAAATCGGTCCAAGTTGGGGTCGTATCGTACGGATTGGACTGCGGGAGGCCTCACGAGCCAGGCGTCTACATGAACGTCTCCTCCCACTTGGCCTGGATCGCTCGGGTGCTTCGTCCGCTCGCTCTCAACGGTGAGTCGCCGTCGACATCGGGTTCGCGAGGGTGATCTCGAGATGAAAGATGCGGGGATGGTCGCAGATGAAAGATGCGGGGAATCTCTGGAGGAGGAGCCGAGAACGTTCGAGAACTGCCGGGGGAATTCCTTCAAACGGTTCTCTTCCCTTCCGCCTTCGGTTCTTCTCGTCCATCTTCTTTTCTTTCCGTCCTCTGCGTTTTTGTAACTTATGAGTTCACTGACAATGATATAAAGACATCCAAGACTCATCGGTACAAAGGAGAGTTCTTTTCCTCGTCGATAATAAAATACGGTACATGGTATTCGAATCGGAGTGAAATGCACAATATAAAATCTAAAATGGCTTCACTTCACCACAGATACTGTCAAGGAAAATGGACACAAATCGCATAGCGCATCATTAAGGCGACATTGCACTGCCCAAACTCTCGTGTATTACATTGTGTATTACAAACTGTGTATTACATTGACTCCCCTCTCAGCTCTTCGCAGGGAGTTGCTGCGCTTTATTCTATGCGGCTGCTGTGAGCTTCTTCAAGTGCAGTCAGCGGAACAACTTTATTTTCCTTTCGAATTTTGAATCGCGTTCGACAATCGCTCTTTCTAGTTCGACTAAACCACCAACCACTGGGCTCCATAATACATTCAACTAAATCGCAAACTACTTCATAAATTTTCACTAAAATGATGAATTACTAAAGAAGAAATGTGAAAGGAACCACTCGACCTACGAGAAAAACGCGATATTACTCATCCTATCCATTGTGTTGAGTTGCTTCTCGTCTTTTTTTTTTTCCCAGCAGCAGGCGAGTAGAATCCATGAAAGAACCAAGTTTATCTTAGCATTATCTTATCAGCATTCGATTTTCTCGCATTCCGCTGTGGGCCAGGTGATTTGAAAAAAAAGAAGTTTGCCTGAAAAAAGTTTCCTTGTTGCAAATTGTTTAAGAATTATTGCTGCATCTCGATTACCACGGGATTACCACGGGATTATCTCCGCCACGGTAACGCGTTTTCATCGGTCAGCGAGAGACTCGTCACGCTTTTAATGACCACGTGATAGAATTCGCTGGGTTTTATTTTTTGCCACAGTTACGCGCTTAATTGCGAAATCTTGCGTTGTGTAATTTTGGGGTAGGGCCCTAAGAGAAGAAAATCGATTTTGACGGCCCGTCAAGGTCGAGGTAGACTTCGACACAGTTTCGAAAATTTTAGTTGAGATCTGCTTCATCCGATCCCAGCAAATCACATGAAAGATGATGCAAAACACATGGATGAAGAACATTTGGACCCTTCCCCGAGTTGACTGATTAGGGGTTACATATCGTCGCTTCTTAAAAAGCAACTCGTGATTTTGTATATGTTACCTGGTGCAACATTTCCAGTGCAGCCTGTAAATGCGGCACTAAAGCTATTACACACCTGCACCAATTTTTGCCCTTCTGCAAAACCGAAAGCGAAAACGAAGGTCACTTTCGTTCGCTTTGTGGAGCGCCTTTATGGGCGCTCGTATTCCTTCTTCCGTTTCCGTCTTCCAGATGATTCGATCGACGATATCGAAGTGCAAGGTCTCCACCATTTTCAATCCTCTTGGAATCTCGTCGTTCTCCAGAAAACCATCTCGAATTTCGTCTTGGTACTTGTTCTCCCGATGGTATCAACTCTTCCCCCCCCCCCTTTCCCAGAGACAGGTGTATAACAACTGTTAGCTCCCGTATGATTTTTTTTTAACTAAACTTTATAGGTACCTATTGTGATAAGGATAAAATACCTATCATGATAGGTATTCGTGAATTTTCGTGACATTTTCGTGACAGCCTCATATCCATCGTCGCGCGCTCAGAGTGAATGCCACGTGCTCGCATGATCGACCGGAGTGTTGCGTCATGATTTATTGATATTAATCTGACCCCGTTTACCGGATTAGTGCTTCAATTCCGATCGCCGTGGCTCGATACAAAAAAACTCTACGGGATTTAATTCGTCCCAGAGTAACTGCGCTCGACACAAGTTGCGACGGACCACATAATTAATTGAGTTAGCAAATTCACGGCAATCCACCCTGGTCGCTCGTTATAAGCAGAATAAACAAGCTCTGGATCATAATAGATTGAATCGATTTTTATACCTATCATGATACCTTTCATTATAGGTATAAAATGTTTCTTCATATGGCCAATATATCAAAATCATCAATTGATATTCCCCCAAATAGCTGTTTTATCAGTTTCATACGCTATTGCATACCAGCCAGTATACGTAGGTACAGCTTACCGCGATTACAGCACGGCGAGTCGTCCTCCCGTAAATTTAGGCTTCTCATCACGGAGGGAAAAACTTGGCACCACCGGATGAGTGGAGTTTAAATATTTTAATATAGCTTTGTTCAATTTTCGCCCGACCCTCCTTTACTCCGCTGGTCATTAAACCGCGGATCGTCCAGTCCCGAGTTTAACCCCGTGTTATTCTGACCCGGCGTTAACCTCCACTCATCAATGGACCCTAAGGACGTTCTCGATGATGGCATGTTGGGTCGAGTGAAGGGTCAGAGGTCAAGCGTTCAGGTCAAGCGTGACACCTGGGGGAATCGGACCGTACTGAGGCTTCCTCGGAGCGGCTCACAGAGGCTGCATGGAACAGTTCCACTCGGTTCGAGTCGCGCCGCCTCGACTATTAGAATATTCTACTATATTTTCTCTGAAAGAAACATATAACATTTGTAAAATTACGTTGCTGCAAGAAGAAATCAACTCCCCTTTTCTTCTTCGATAAGTGATGCGAAATGCATTTCCTTTTCGGAGCAGGATCTGTTTCACTGGAACGGGTTCTTGGACACGTTGGAGAGGTTCGTGAGGATCTCGAGCGTTTGACGTCGATGAGGGATCTGACAATGTGCAGGGCGATCATTTTATCCGACTTTGCAGTAACAGTGGAGGGAAATTTTCAAGTTTTGCAAGCACCAAGTAAGATTTAATGCCAAGGGATTTTTTTTTCTTGTCGAGGAATGCGCTTTAGATGATATCGGTGTGGTTCCTCTGTCTGTGGATGAAAACATCAGTTAGAGGCAGGGCCACACAGAGGTTTCCAGGGGCCCGGGGCAGATTGCCCCCTTTGCCCCCCCCCTCTGGGTGGCCCTGGGTAGAGGTAGCGTTCCTTCATAGAGAAATAAAAACAAAAAATAAGTGGATTTGCCTTACGACAAGGAGAGAACATTGGCTCGAGGAAGATCCCAAATAGTCCTAAGAGAAGGGCGAATTTCGTTGCTAGTTGAACACCTTATGAACACTCGAAAGAAGCACAGGAAAGAAGGACATGGCAAACCTGGAAGAGATGGGGTGAGCGAGAAGGCGTTTTTCTCACTTTTTTTCTGGTGTTCTGGGTCGATGCTCCGAGTCTCATCTGCGTTCGACGTTCGTGCAATTGAGAAAAGGTAATGAATCCCGCTCGGAACGACGCCGGAGCATGTGAACTCCACGGGATCGACTTCAAAAGCAATTTCCGAGTTCTACGAAAAGAGCTCTCGGAAAAAAATTTTCTCATCTGAGTTCGAACGAGGGGAAGCGAATCCCGCGGATTTTTTTTTTTTTTTCAATAGGAACGCCGGGAAATAGAAAACTACTTCCAAGGGAAGAAGGTGCTAATGGCGAGTCGTGGCGAATGAGAATCGACTTGCCGACATGGGAGTCCTTGAATGCGCGAAACATGACTGCCAAAACGCTTCATCCAATTCAGTTTCGCCGATTAGAATTCATAAGAATGAGATCGAAATGGAAGTTGTCCTTTCTGCTCACTTCAGCATTCATTCTAACAAGGACTTTTTGACAGCCCAGTAATGTATTGGGTACTTCTGACATAAGTAACTCATGGTTTTCATAAAATGAGCGAAAACTATTACAATGACAGGAATTCATCCCGATGTTACAGTTCGAGCAAAACAGTGTTTTCGCAGCAACGAGAGCATAGGGCTTGAGGGGTGAAGTCGACCTCTCATCAGAAAGAGAAGCTTCTTATCCAAAAACAAGTGAATCATCACGACCTTGACCTTTATTTCGTTAGCAAGGAAACTTACATGTAAATCGTCGCCATGGAAGAGAAAACGGAACACGTTCACGTGACATCATGTGGCACGTGGATGTGTTCCCAGGGAACGCGCCCACGCAAGGCTGGTGGTGGAATTCATTTCCTGCTTTGGTCCATGCGCCGAGACACACAGCCAATGAGGGCCGGCGTGGTGTGTGTGTGGGTTGCTGATACGTAGGTACGTAAGCGGCGAATAGCTGGTACATGCATCCGGATTTTTGCGAATTCTGGCCTACCGTACTGATTGAAGAAGACTGGAAAGCCGACTCGGAAAAGTATCACCATGCACAAGCAAAGAGAAACAAATTGAAATAAGTCCCTGGGACAGAGCTGCCATTCTACTGGTCACTATATCACTGGAGTAATCTCCCACCATCATGACATAACGACCTTTTCATGAAGTTCTTGAAAAATGGAATTTGCCATTCCTTCCTCGTGAAAAATCCCAGGAAACGCGAAAAAGTGCTTGATGGTGGGCGACCGTGTCGAGTGCAAATTATACAGAAGTATGAAGTGTATGATGGTAGATGCGGCACTTCAGGAGTTGGATTCAGCAACACTGTTTACGTTATTGTGTAAGAAACGACAGATGAGAAACCCGCTGCAATGTCTACAGTTTTCCGACTCAACACGATAGGTATGGAAACACCTACAAAAACGCACATTAAACGACGAATGGGAGACGGGTGGAACCACGAAAATGCACTTGCGCGGGTGGGACTAGACCAGGGATGCAAAACCTTATCGACGGACGTGGTCCCTTTCAACAAACTTTCAAAGCTTGGGGGATTTTTTTTTTTAAATAATAACGTAACGTCTTGCAATATCAAATATAAAACGTGACATCGAGAAATTTGTGCTAAATATACAGTGCAGGAACCGAGAATCAATTCGTCTACGGCCTTAGTGTCTTCAAGTGTGAGTGCGCCCCCATAACATAAAAGGTTATGCATCCCTGGAATGGACAGAGAAATTCCGGAATATATTCCACAGCCCAAGTAATTTTTTTTTTCAAAGAACTTGAAAAGAGGTTTATGGCATTTCGACGCAGGAAAATGCAACGAATCACCATGGTGCGGCTGAATAAAGGAAACGACAACGAATATAACAAAGGACCAAAGACATCAGATGCGGTTGTCACGTTGTGGGCGAAAAATAACTCGGGGGCGAAAGAACTCGAAAGCAAAGACGAGGGACGAAAGGAGGTAACCCAGGATCAACAAAAGGAACGGACTCTGGAGATGGTCAAGGGACAATGGCACTGGACCATGGAATTTCCAATCTTCTTTTGTGACATTCAGGCTTGCATGAATGACCTTCGAATTCGAACGAACTGCCTCTTCTAGTGCCCTTCTCCACCATTGGTGGATCAAGCCTGCTTCAGTCATCCTCATTATGTACCAATCGATGGATTCCTTTAATCTCTCAACTCTCTTTCCTATTATCCAGCCCACAGGCTTGCAAAAAAATGAAGAAGGGCTGGCAAGATAATCCATCCTCCGATCGTATCCCAGAGCCAAGACATTGCTTGCATAACTGATGAAAGCAAATGACTCTGTCATGACTCCCTCGAGGGGAAGAAGGTATTTCCACGCTTCCTCGTAGGGAAACCAATTCATCCGATCAGCCAATATCTCCAAGTCGTGCTCCTTCGTGTCCCGGAATTGCAGACCGAGTCCTGATCCGTAATCAATGGCTCCCCATTCGTAGTCAGAATTCACGAGTTCCTTCAGGGAACCGGGCCTGGGCTCGAATCGAGGAAGGACGAGAAATGAAACCAGACTACTCGTATACGAGGTCGTTAGGATCATGACGTAGAGCCAGGAGAATGCAAGGAGGATCCGACTGGGATTGACATGGGTCAATCTCGCATAGAATGTCTGGCTTGTGTGAAGCTGGACGAGGAGAAACATGGCATTCCCAAATCCAATGCTTTCCAAGAGGTGACCTAGAATTAGACTTGCCGAGAAGAGGACTCCGAGCATTGTGAGCCACACTGTCCAATTCCAGGGATTCACCAATTTCATCCAACCGGGGTAAGGCCTTGGAGGTTTGGTGACGAGCATCAGGCAGTCATCGATGTAGGAGAAAGAATGATCCATGTTTGTATGATGAAACCGTCTCCAATAAAGCGCAATGTCCGAGAATGCCACATGAACCAGTCCATCGTCAACCAGACCTAGAAGTCCCGTCCATGTCCCATTCTCCCTTAGTTCACCCCACGAGCCACCCTTGGGTAAGACGAACTCCACAGTGAAGTTGAGTCTCCGAGAAACTTCCTTGAGAATGGATCCTTCCAGCCCTCGTAATTCCTCCAGACTAGATGGATTTTCGTTATTGGCATCCCAGTCGACAAATGGAGGATAACTTAATGTACCCACACGAATGATTTCTCCATTGTAATCCCATGGAGGTCCACGACATCTGTGCACGAGGGATGAGGAACTAGAAACCCTTGCCAAGAGTCCCTGCATGAGCAGATAGAAGAAAGCCTTCCCATATTCCATCACTGGTCACGAATATGGAGAATATGGATGGAGCACTAACTTCGTGGAAGCAGAATAACGACTGGGGGGAATATTCTTGCGCCAATCTATTGCGATATCTTGTTTAAATGTTGACAGTCTCAAGAGGACAATGAGTGTCCTTTTGAATTACTCCTTCTCCTTTGAAAATTGGTTTAAAAAATGATGAGATTGATTGATCCGAACGCCAGGTGTATACCCGTCCATCGTTTGGGAGGTTGCCTTTTATAAAAGAGGGGTTTCATATGACCTTTCCTAAGGAAGAACGAGCACAGACCCGATAGGTTTCTTATCCGTAAGTGCCCATAATTTTTTGGATGCGATGGCACTTTGTTTTGTCAGAATATAAAATTAGAGAAGTGGGTGTGATTTATCTAATTAAAGGGCAAAGACGCTATGGTCCTTCATAGTTGCAATTTTAGGGTAATATATACCTTTTCAATGAAACTTCCTGTGCTCATCATAACTTACGTTATTCTCCAAGCACCAGAGATAGTCAATTACCACAGATTTTCTTCAAGCACTTTTAGTAAAGTCGTGCTGTATGGGAAGAGGTCTCGCTGCGAGAGTTTTCCCTTTATCTACTTTAAACGGACCGAATCCCAGATATGTTTTGTAGATGACGGAGTTGCTGAGCGCCCAACTACAGATATCAATGTTTTGCAGGGGTTATGGTTATACTTGGAATGAAACATATGAAAATATTAATCCAATAACAAAGACCCGTACTATTCCATGGAATTATCAAGAGTCAAGAGAGTTAGTGATATCAAGAGGCGATTTCGCCCATTTCGATATCACGTGTCGAGGTCGAGCGTTCCTTAATTTTAGGGTAGGCCTAACCCTCTTAAAGCTAAATATTTTTGTATTTTTGTTTTGTTTTGTTTGTTTTTGTTTGTTTGTTTTTT